TCAGCCCCTCTTGGCCAACTCCTCCCAGTTTCTACACTGGGCATGATGTTGTGTGGTGTGGAATATCCCTTTGGCCGGTTTGCTCAGCTGTCCCAGATGTGTTCTCCCCCTTCCCCAGGTTCTTGTGCAGTTGCTCACTTTCAGAGCATGAGACATTGGAAAGCCCTTGGCTCAGGGTAAGCAACAACCAAAACATCAGTGTGTTATCAACATAATTCTCATCCTGCATCCAAAACACTGCACTGTAGCAGGTACGAGGAATATTAACTCAATCCCAGCTGAAATCAGACAGTCACAATTAATCACTTCTCCTGTGTGCTTGTATATAGAGGTATAAAAACATATGCTCAAAAGCAATTACAAACACAAAGCAAATTCTCAAACACAAATACAAATACAAATATTGGATGATTAAAGGTGCCCTTGTTTTGTTTCATTTGTTTTTCCCTACAGAATATGGTTACAGCACTGTTGCTGTTTTACTTATTACTATTGGATCTATGTTTGGTACAACTCTCATTTTATTTAACTCCTGTCAAGAAATCTATACACTCATTCTACAGCTGTTTGTCGGCTTGGCTGTTGGAACCCTTTCTGGAGATGCATTGCTACATCTTATTCCTCAGGTAATTGTGCTTTTAAAATGTTGACACATATCTGTGTGTGCAAACATGCACACACAGAGAAAAGTTTCATTTAAGCCTGGATAATACTCATCAGTTTATAAATAAAGCTTTCCACGAAATACCCCCAGCACTCCAATTATATTTGCACTCTGTAGCTCAGAGAGAAATTAAAAATAATAATAAGTAGACATCCATGATTGATTAATTCAAAGAAAGAAGGGCTCCTATTAAAAAAAAAAAACAACTCAGAAACCCTACAAGTCCTGTGCAAGGCACGTCCTAGATGAGTATTAATTTCTTTCATGGGACAGATTCCGTAACACATTTTAACAGAAATAATTCTAAGGTTGTATGAGCCATGCACAATCCCCCTCCACAGATTGTTCTAGAGAACCAGGCACTATCAGCCTAATTAATCCTGATGCCTAGAATTGTAATAAAATGGGTGGCATGATCTTTTCCTAAACTCATAATCTAAATTTTAAGGACAGGATAACATGTAAAACAGAAACAAATCTTCCATTGTTTATTCACTTATTTTCAACAGTCTCCTCTGATATGACACAGATGTTATGAATAGACTTGTAGTGGTCACAGAAAGAGAGCTTCTCAACTTCACTTAAGATTCTGGTTAAAATTTTCTTTATGCTCAATGCATTATCTCTGGAAGCAAAACTGGGAGAGTGGTTTAAGGAAGGCAGTTCTCACTGAGTGTCAAATAAATGCGTTTCTTTCAGCAACACTTTTAAAATGTGAAAGTATTCTCCTTTACCAGGTTTAAGTGATGTATCCCATAGCCTTTAGACTCCTCACTTTCAGAGCAAAGGAGGGCTGCTGTGCTGTGACACTAGGGAAAAAAAGTAAGCATACCCACCAACAGAAATCCATTTTTGCATTAATTATGCATTACTTAATCTATGCATTATTTACACAGAATCACAGTTATAGAATTACAGAATAGTTAGATTTGGAAGGGACATCTGGAAATCATCTAGTCCAACCCACTGCCAAGGCAGGATAACTTAGAGCTGGTTACAAAGGAATGCATCGAGGTGTTTTTGAATATCTTCAGAGAGGGAAAATCCACAACCTCCCTGTGCAGCCCGTGCCTGTGCTCTGCCACTCTCAGTGTAAAGAAATTCTACTTCATGTTGATTTGGAACTCGTGTTTTTGTTTATGGCCATTGCTCCTCATCCTGTTGCAGGGCACCACTGTCTTGGCACCCACCTTTGAGAAATTTGTATCCTCTCAGACTTTTCTCTGGACTGAACAGGCACACTTCCAGCAGACTCTCCTCATAAGAGAGATGCTCTAGTCCCCTAAACATCTTTGTGGCCTCTGCTGGACCCTCTCCAGTAGCTCTTTATCTATTTTCAATATTAAGTTTGCATATTAAGATAATGCAAGTAATTTTTATAGAATTTTAGCATCAATATACTGCAAAGAAAATATATCTCATATATATAAATGGTGATTTCATAAAACTGTCCCTAAAAGTAATGTTACTTGCACCACTGAGAGATGAAGTGTAGCTATACTCCTAATGATTCATTTCATCCTCTATTATTCAGCTGATTATTTCAAAACACAATTTACCTTTGAATGAACTGAGAAAATAAAATTCTGGGAATAAAATGAATTAAAACATTGTGGCTTGCTCTAGCAAAAATTAAAACATCCATTTTAATTTTTTTAACTTTATCTCTTTTGCTTTAGACTCTTGGTTTGCATAAACATGAAGCACAAGATGTAGAACATTTCTATGAGGGAAAAGAATATATTTGGAAACTTTTGGGCATAATTGGAGGAATTCATGGATTTTTTCTGATAGAAAAGTGTTTCTTTCTTTTGGTAACACCTCGTGACCAGGTAAAACTTTGTACAATTCATGCTTTTAAAAAACTCTTGTATTTTGAGATCTTGCAGTGAAGCATTGAGAATTGTTTTACAAAGTGCTCCTACCAGATTGCCCTTCAGTTTCTATTTTGCTTTGCTCTGTAGATTGTGCTTGCTTCGTGAGTGTGTTCAATATATTTATAATTCCAGAAAGGGAACAGTTAGTTGAACGTATTCCATAAGCCTGCATTCATGACACACTGGAGCAGGTGAAAAGTGTGTATCCATATGAAATAGCAGTGACAGTTTGCTGTAGGTTTGAAGAGGAGAAAGGTGCAATAGAAAGATAGGTGCAAACATAAGATATTTTCAAGAATAATTTCTTAAAAATTCCAAATTGTTTTTGATCCCTGTCCCAGTGATGTGAAAATCTAATATGTTGCAGTCAGTTGGACCCAATCTTATATTAATGAGATTTCCTTGCTCACTGCCATGCTTACAGTAATTCTATTACTTTGTTTCCGTATGGCCAGAGCCTGAAGATATGGTTCTGCACAAGGATAGAATGTAGCACAAAATGTAATGGCTGATTGAGTTTCTCAGCATGAGAGACAATCCTAACGTCGCTTAAGAAGGCTAAACCTTTGGTTGTTCTGTTCTACAGTGTGTGAAGACTGGCCTGATTCACACACGCAGCAATGACTCCCTATTCCCACTACTTCGAGTCAGCCATAATAATATCATGTGAGATTAACAGAATGAGAGCATTTTGATTAGGGTGATATTTTATTTACTTCATGAAAAGGAGTCCATTTTGTTACTTGTTTGAGAGAAGGGTTTTATCATCATCCCACAAATGTTTAAAATTTTTCTACAGAGAACTAGATGAATCCTTAATGTTTATATCTACATCAGCTTCAAATTTGAATTTGATTTTTAAAATAGATTGAGTTTTATTAAACCATTGTGATTGTCACTGATTTATCTGATTCACTTTTCAGGGTTTATAACATACTAAGCATTACAAAATGTTGATATTAGTCAGTGATCTTTTTCAATAGATTTTGTTTGGAAAAAAAATTCTTAAAAATGCTAAATTTTCACAAAAAGACTAAGAAATGCTGCACCTGTGTTCATTGGGTTTCAGAACTAATTGCAAAGCATCTTCATTCAGCAGGGCCTTTCTTTAGTTAATGGGCACTGGGGACATTCCCATGATCTTCCAGTGGAGTCTGAATTAAATGAACATTCAGGCAGAGGCAAATCTACTTCAACCATACAGTTGGTAGGTTACCAATATGACATACTTCCCTAAATTTATATTCTTCTTTCTCTGTTCCTCAAAAGAAATGAAGAAAATTAATGCAATAAATCAGTATTATTTTTCAGTCTTTATTGATTTTTTATTACTTGACATGATTGTCAAGAATCTCTAGATTTTGAAGTTTATAATGAGCTTTCACAGAGATATCAAGAACAGATACTTTACAGTAACATTTTTAAAGTGTGTATCAGATTGATATAACAATACACTTCCTGTATTGTTATACATTTTGTTGATAAAATTCTTGAAGATTTTCCTCCTCCCTTCTTTTTAATCACATGCAGACTCTCCATAGGAAAATATTCAGAATTTCCTGCAATGAGAGTTAAGTGCATAATTAGTGAAAAGATTAAATCCTGGACTGTTCTTGGGCATTCTTCTACAGACTTGAAGAGTAATGTAAAGACTTGGATATCTGGGAATGGTGCTTACCTATAAGAAGTTACACACTTTAATATTTGTCTGTGGATAGTATCCTGACAGATAAATCTTTGCAAATTAAATCGAGTCATAAATTTTACCCTGTTTTCTCTTTCTTTCAACAAATCTCTTCAGTTTATATCGAGTATCTCGATGCACAGGTGAACTCCATTTTACTAACGCAGTTGTCATTGGCAAGAGCCTCATGAATCACCGCTAATCTCTAAAACACAGTTGGAAAACTCTTAATAAAAACCAGATCAAACAGAGGAGTGAAGCATGTTTAGTATTTTGTGAGACACATCAAAGCTTCCTGTTTATGATAATGAATGAACATGTCATTCCCTTCAGATGCAAGATCCCCCCAAAGTTCTATACAGATCACATTATCTATGTAGAATTAGCCTGGCTGAGCTGGTTTGTACAAGAGCAGCCAATTTTTCAGAATCATGTGAGTAATACTAAGACAAACACTGGCTGACTAAGAAAAACTTATAAATCCTTCAGATCAGTAATTAGTCTTGCAGTTTTGACTCACAGTTCAAAGAAGTGGCATGTGAATAAATATTGTAGGAGAAGTGGAACAATTTCTGGAATTCATATGACTGGCTCCAATCATAGGAATTAGAGACATTTATTTTTTCTTTACAATGTAGAATATGAGAAACAATTATTTTTCCTTCTCTCCTCATGCTTCTTCAGCACATACCCTTCATCACAACCAAGCTAAGACCAACCGATAAACATATCCTGTTTTGTAGTCAGTCCACATCTCTGGTACAGTTTTTGGAGTAGTGGCTGCTGTCCCTATCACAGAGCTCTTGTGCTGTTGTTAACTCCACTGACTGCCATAACAGGTTTTAACACACTTCTTTGGGGGAAAAAAACCTCAGGAATTAAGAATCATTCTTTCTAGTTTCAAGCAAACAAGTTTTCTTTTTTTTTTGCTTCTCTCTCCCTCACATGAATTTCTAATAATTTCTCCAATCAGAAAGCAAAGCCCCAAGGAGGCAGGGGCAGTGAGAGATTACTCATGTTCGCCCTTACCTCCCAGCAGTTGCAATATCTATTAATTAAACGTTAAGGCTGGTGCATCAGTTTATCTCTCTAGGATAAGGAAGAAGACACTGTCTCTTTCTTCACTTGAAGTAAGGGTAAATTTCTGGAGTGTACTCCAGTGCTGCTATGCCCAGCCAGTGTTGCCTGGTGCTGAGTTGAAGCCCTTGCTAAAAGCCAAGACACAAGACACTGGAGGTTGCACCACTCTGAAGAAAAGCCCCTATATTTTGAAAGGGGATGACACCTACTGATGATCATCATTTTCAGTCTTGTGTTTTCACAAACTGTGAAGAACATGAGCACCTAAAAGACTCCGCCTCTTTTTCCCTGGAAATCCTATGGACACATTCTCCAGCAAAATACATTCATCCAGTCATGACAAAATCAAAACATGCCATTTTAATTATAATGTCCCTTCTGCTCTTGCATTTAGCTCAGATTTTTGTGTATTCAAGCAGAAATGTGGTTTTCTTGGGCTACAACAATGCCTATGAATGTATTTCTTCCTACCTGAACTAGACTTATCCCTCTCTAGGCGAGGCAGATTTCTTTTTTATGTTTCTGCAGTACCAATCACACTGCCAGTGGCCAGTAAATTATTCTAATGATATCTGTGCAAATAACCATTGACTATCTTTAATTCAAAAACTTGAACTTAATTGATATTTTCCTGTGTTTATGGCAGCAGCTTGAAGAGACTCTTAGCACTGATCCATTATCTTTGCTTTTAACTAGAGAAGCCCGGAAGATTCTGAACCTGCTGAAGTTCCTCCGGAGAGCAAGGTGATCAGCAAAAAAAGTAAGTATCAATAAAAAGACGAGACAAGACAGGAAAATCCTTCAGACCGAAGATGGAATTGAAAGTGTGCAGCTGGCTTAGCTCTGTGTTTGCTGTGTGCTACATCACATCTTGTGGCGCCTAGCTACATAATTTAATCTCTGCTTAAAGACCTTCTCAACTGCCAACTCTGTAATTGTGAAGTTCATTAATCTTACACTGTCCTTGCTTTAGTATTTGCTGTCTCACTGTTGCAATCTATTTTGCTAAAGCCTTTGCTTAAAGGGATATAGTAAAAAATTAATACAAAACATTTTTATAATTTTAAACTTAGCTCATGCTTTTATTTCTGAAGAAGGTGAAACATTTTTTGTAGGCTTGATATGGTAATGTAATTCTGCATCCTTCTTCTCTTATGCAGTGAAACAATAGACTCTTTAAACCAGTAATGATTTATCACAAGTATGGAATTACAGCCTCATGATGGGTCTCAGTTTTAGAGTAATCTGTTTGCTTCTGAGAACTTCAAATAACTCCTGCCTTCTGTGCTTTTTTGCCGCTTAATAAAAATACAAAAACAGAGTATAAACCAAATTTTGCCTTTAACTGTACTTTGTGACCTTGGTTAATTCAGTAGAGATGAAGTCATTCAGCTGAGGGAATAATATTTTAATTGAAATCAGTTTATTTACTATAATTAACTCCCCTTTATTTTGTGATCTCAGATCTCAGGTCATCAGTTTGATTTATTTAATTGTGTCATTATCTTCTTCTAGGTTCTAATGTTCTGTTCTTGTGGACTGCATTTCTATTTCTGAAGCATTAGAAATCTAGATTTTAATTTCTTCACTTTCACTCCAATAATACACAATCTAGTGCTGGTTTGAATGTAACTACATAGTTCATCTCCAGATATTTCTGTTTGGTTCAATCATCATTACCTTCTAAGCATTGCTATTGATCTTTGTTCAGTTTAATTTTTCATCATACCTCAGTCTTACCTCCATAAATGAAACCTTAGTAGGGAAGGGTGGGAGGTTATTTGGGGTTTTTTTTTTGGGAATTCGTAATTGCAAAAGTTTGTTTCATTACAGTTCTTTTAAATAGCTAAGTGTATAAACATACCTGGGTACCTTGCTACTGAGTGAGGTGTTTCTTCCCCCAAACTGAATGGAATCTGCAGGTCTAAGAGAGAAGCCTGACAACTCCAGAACTGCAAAGCTTCACTGTAAATGCTTGTCAAGTAGGACTGCATAAAGGGTCAGTCACCATAGATAGTCAGGGAGTGACTTAGAAAGCAAGAAATTGTCTAAAGAAAAAGATGTCTGACTGGCCCTCTCTGCATTTATCCATACTCATTCTATCAATATCAGAGAAGACCAAAGAGTATCATTTTATATATGTTATACTTAGTGACACTTTACATTTACTAGAAATATTTTTTCTGTGTTAGTCATGGAAACATTGGAAAAGATCTATTTATGCATAAATGTTTGCTTTAAACTCTTACTCTAAACTTAAAATGTGTAGTATACGGCTGAGGTCTTGTGCCCATTAGTTTTATGAAAATTACAGAATAAAATTTGCTATGAGTTCTGATACCCTATTTAAGCAAAGAAAAAAAAGTAAGATTGTTGGAGAAGAAAAGGCATTGTAGAAATAGTTAACGTAAAAAGTTAATAGTTAATAGTTTGTGTTGGAATATAATGCAGTGAGATAATTGCCAGTAACAAAGCTGCTTTGTTAGTGAAAGTAAGCTGAAAGTAAAATAAGATAAACATTCAGATTTGTTTATACATGCATCTTCTTAACTTTCTGTCAAGTAAGTTCACAAAGCTTATATCTGTAATTGCTCCACAATGCTAACCTGATCCCTGTGTTATTCTAAAACACACTGGAATGAGTTCCAGTAATCATGATATATCTTCTCCAGCAATCACATACTTGAACAAAGCAGACTAATAAGACCTCAGGGCAGGCCATGGTTTCATCCTTGCCAGTGCTTATTACAAATCACAAACTTAATATAACACAGCAATCCATTATTTCTATGTAATTCATGCTCTGCGCTATTGATTATAAACTGCCCATAGTGTTTAGAAAGAACTGTGCAAACTGGGGACATCCACGTCCGGCTCTGTAAGCTGGCAGCAAAATCTAACAAGCCTGCCAATTTTACTGAACCCACAGAGCTCCCAGACAACCAGGGAGGGTTTTCTGAATATGGTTGTTAGGCTTTTATGTGCTCTGTGTGATTTTTATAATAGTCTGAAGACTTCAGTTCTAGCCAGTTTCTGTAAGAAAAATATCTCCCTCATCACTATAAAATGGTCATCTCCGAGAAACATTGCTGGAGTGAAACCTGGTAATAACTGTATTCAGACAGATCAGTGCAGCTTCATGTTTGCTCTTTAGTCTGTCATATTATGTCTATGTGGGGTCACCAAAAGTCAGAAAAATACATATTTAGGGCCCAAATAATGACCCTGCTCCTTCAGGTATGAAACCAATCCTTTCCAAAGTGTTCTGTCCATTCTGTGTAGAGGGAGACTGGATGAGTTTCTTTACAGATGTTAGGCAGTCCTGACTGTGGATAAAATGAATGAAAAAAGTACAGGATGGGGCAGCCAATTATGTGTTGCTAAGTTTAGACATTGAACCTATATGGAGCCTTGTTGCTTCTGGAAGAGATAAACTGCCTCCCTGTGAATCTGTTCAGCATTCCACCCAGCCTGTTCTGTTACAGGCTGGGCAGGGAGATTGTCCCTAATTCCTTGGCTTGATTTCAGTGCTTGCATCACTAGTAGCACCTTTCCACTCCTGTCAGATGACATGATGCCATGAACTCCCAGTGTACTGTTCCACACTAAAACAAGGTCACAGAACATCATGGGAAAGACAAACAGCCATGTACACCCATGAGTGGTGTTCCAGATAGGAGCACTGTGAGCATAACTGCCATTAATTGATTGGAACAAATGTTGGATATAAGCATGCTGTAACCCTGTACTATAAGTCATACTCCAAAGCTTGTCTATCATTTCTATCTTTCACTGTAATACAATTGCATAAAAAAAACCAGACCCTGCAAATATTACTCAGTAATAGCAAGCTTTACAGGATTAAAACAATCAGCTCCATGAGACCAAATATTTATCTTCACTTTAGCTCTGCAATTCTGTGAGCAATGGTGGAAGAAGTCCAAATAACAACTAGGAAGACTTGTGCAAATTTCATCAAATAAAAAAAGATTGATAGAAAACCTTAGGATGCTTCATGAGAAGGGACTCAAACCTAATTTTTTGTCTAATAGTTGACCTAGTAAGAATAAGGAAGTTATTTCCTGGTATTTGCATCTCATTTTGAATTGTTCTGGAACCTACTTTTTTTTGTTTTAAATGTATTGAAGGAAGTGTAATAACAAGGACAAATCAGATAAACATTATTTCCCTCTGATTATTATAACTTTTTGTAATGTTGTGTGCAAAGTCACCAAAAACCCCATATCATGTGTAACATAACAAAACTAGCAACATCTCTTTGGGTTAATACTCGGATTTTTATCTGTTTGTTTTTCTTTTTCAAGGTAAAACAATCAGCTTGTTGGCAATAATGGTTCTGGTGGGTGACAGTCTTCACAATTTTGCTGATGGTTTGGTAATAGGAGCAGCATTCTCATCCTCAACAGAAACAGGTGTGACAACGACTGTTGCTATTTTATGCCATGAAATTCCTCATGAAATGGGTAAGAAATATATGTGTGTATTTTTCCTTATTGACTTTGCATTTCCAGGTTTCCCAAAAAGTTCTTTCCTGTATGGCATTTGGGGAAATTCTTGCTTATAGCATCATGAATTACAGTGTTACTGTGTAGACTGATTCTTTCTTTGCCCTTCACAAAAACCAGGGGAGGCTTCTGCACTCATTACTGGATGCCTTCCCACTTGACCTTCTCCAGATGCAAATGACATCAGGTCAGGATTGACCTGTTATTGTTATGGGTACAGACACAAAAAATAATAAACGGTGAGCAAGACCCACGTGTGTGTGAGGGCCATGCCTTACACAAAGGGCTATCCAAGAGTTTCAATATGCAGTAGAGCTATTTAAGCAAGTATTCCTCTTGCTACCTTCATCCCTGCTGCTAATCAAGAACAATAAGATAATAAAAGGTGTATGACCTATTTTACTAGTGGACAGGACAGGAGAATTGTTCTGTTATATATTGCCCTTGATTGACTTTTTCTGGAAAAACTTCCACCATGGCTAAAGCTGTCCTGACACTGTGTTGATGAACATTTATAAATTGGGAAGTTTGATATGAGAACTGCAGGTTCTCATTTCTATCATTAAATGACTGAAGACTTCATGTGCTGTGTAGAAAACTCCTCCAAACAAAAGGTGGGATGGAGGATTGCTGTAAAACTGGTAACTCTTGTTTGCATAGCAAAGCAAATTGAAATGCTTTCCAGTTACCTCCAAAGACACCTTCTCAGTTCTGGGGAGTAGTGACCCACTGTCAAAGTGACATCTTTATAGTCATGGAGCAAATTATTCAAATCTTCTACTTGTGGCCTGTTATGAAATCTTTTGTTTTAGAAGAAAAATCTGTGATGGGATTCTGACGTACAACTTACTCCAATTGATTAGGACTGAAATCAGTGGGGTTAAACTCAAACTGGGATCAGAGCTGAACTCAGTCTGGCATAGATTACTCTGACTTGCAGCACCTGTAAAACACTCAAAGACCATGCTGCAATTATACCCACATGATTTGAACTGGCAAGCTCCCAGTGGAGAAAGATTTAGAAACTCTGGGAAGCCATGTGACTTCACTTTTGCATGCATCCAAGTTGGAAATGGAAAATGTCACAGAACATAGAGAACTAACAGAAAGCCACTCCTCAATACTGTATGCTATCTTTAGGAACAGCTAAACAAGTACAAATCAACATGACTTTTTTGTTGTTTTGAGGTTTTTCTTTCATATAGAATAAGTTGTTTATAACTAATTCTACAGAATTATAAAGGCAGCCCTCCCTCATTCACTATCTTTGTGCATATTTAAATTATTTTCTTTCATATTTTATTACCAAGAGCCTTCAAAATACATTTATCAGCTGAATAATAAATGTTCTTTCTCTCTATGCAGGAGATTTTGCTGTGCTGCTAAGTACAGGGCTCCCCACGAAGATTGCAATTTTGATGAATTTTATAAGTGCACTAACAGCATTCTTAGGACTTTATATTGGCCTTTCTCTATCGACTGACCCATCCATTCAAAACTGGATCTTTACTATTACAGCTGGAATGTTCTTGTATTTATCTTTAGCAGAAATGGTGAGAACTTCAGTTTGTTTTTATATTTTCCTTATAAGCATAGCCACATCAGAGAAGAGTGTCAGACAAATGCAGGGGGATGAACTTGGGAAGAGCATGTTGTCTGCCCTGTGTGTGCATAGTGCTTAGAGAAGTAATTTGTTTTTCTTCTGTGTCACTCTCATCCTAGGTGTCATTGTAATGAAAAGGGGAAATAAAGACCATTAAGAGACTCAAATAAGAGAAAGGCATAATTGACTTTTAGAATTTTTTTTTTTAAATCTTTTAAAGACTTTTAAACAATGTATTTTTATTTATTTAATAAAACATATATTTGAACCTTCAGGGGATTTTAAGATCTTGAAAAACGGATTATTTTTCCTTCTTCTGCCCATTTCTTTATATATTTTTCACCCATTGTTTAAATGCAAATTAGCTGTTTCAGAACTAAAATGTAAGATACTTATCCTGAACGCTTCCTTTCTGTCCTAGGGAGGTTTCAATTAGCTCTCAAGCAATAAAAAAGCCTTCAGATTACCTCAACTTTTTAATAGTTGCCCAATATTTTTAATACTCCCAGTTCAATAGCAACGATCTCCCTATAGAAAAATCAAGTGAAGGTAGGAGGAAGGTCTAAGGACTGAGCAAAAATGTGGAGCAATCATAGCTCATGCAGATGCCTCAGACTGCATAATTTATTGAAGAGATGGATAACTGTTGCACTTGTAGCAATGCAGAACTTAAGTGCCTGCCCAGCTTTGTCACATGGCTCTTTATCCATCATGTGTTGATGTAAAGTTTTTTGCAAGCTCCTCCACAAAGATGGAACGTTTTGAGTGAGTAGATCAAGAGGGAGGGGAAAAAAGTCTCTTCATAAATTATTACTTTGATTTTTTTCCCAGGGCTGTCTGTCTCTTCCTTGTGTTCATTATCACTTTATGCCCGAGATGCTCTTTACTAGGTTCAGGCAACATACTTTAAACCTGATATACCATTCCAGTATTATAACCTATTTAAAATTCTACTTACAGTAATTGATCTTGGGCCTTGATAGCATTTTAGTCTATTTTTGCTATTGTAAGTAAAGTAAAATGAACATTCAGTTCACCTAAAAGCTGAAGAGGGAACTGCCAAAGGATTGTGGATGTGTCAACAGTCCTGACTGAGGTAGTAAATAACAGACAAGAACACTGTGTACCAAGTTTCAGCTTGTTCTGACAGAGAAATTTGGAAGTGAGGCTCCCTACCAACTGTGTAGGCATGGTTTTACTAATGGGGCTAAGAACGATGTACACATATTTTTCCTTCAGTGTAGGATCAGCATCCATCAGGGATCCACAAGCTCCTAGAACAATACCATCTTTTTCCCTGAGTCTTCAAAGCAATGTGCCAGCTGTAAATCTCAAGAGAAAATATAGTTCCAGGCAGAGACAGGGACATGTTTTCCCTTGTTCTCAGCTTGTCATCATAATCTTGGTCTTGGTGTGAAAGGAAGAAAGAAGGGAGAGAAAGGGAAGGAATTTATTTCTCTCAATCCCTTTTATTAATAAGACTCTAATCAATCTTCTCTGCATTTTCTCAAAATATCTGCTATTGGGTGGATCACTTGTTTATCACTGTCAAATATTGCAGGAATTATTTTATTTTAAAAATTATTTATTAGCACTGTGGGCTACATACATAGATATGAATAGTTTGGTATGTTTCTATAGTACATCTCAAGAGAAAATGATACATCTCAAGTCAAAATGAGCCATTCTTTATGTATTTTCCTACTTTCTGCACAGAAATAGGTTCTCTTCTCTGCTGCACTCTCATCTACAAGCAACAGTAATCAGTACTCCTGCCGATGGTGTACAAACACTTAATAGTACAAAAAGCTTGACTATAATTTTCAGTATTTATTTGTTTTATAGGCTTTCACATTTTCATGTGTTTGTCAGAATAGCAGTTAAAAAATGAACAGCCTCACTGGTTTCTGCACTGAGGAACATTGAGGGGTGTGAGTGGAGGTTTGTTGACAGAACAGCACTGTGAGACTGGCACCACAGACAAAGCAGCACAAATCTACTTCTGTGGTTAATCAAAGGTTCTTCATTTCTACAAATGGCATTGTAACTCCATTAGCAAGCCGGGTAGATAATTTCAGGAACTGAATAAGGGACAAAAGATAAAATCACTTATCTCCATCATTTTTCCCCAAGAAATTATGCAAAACTGAAGTTTACTCTGACTAATTTTAAAAATGTTTTCAATTTTGAAGATAAGGGAGTAGTTTTTAAAGTGATTTAAACACACACACACACACACAAAAAAAAAGTGGACTGTTGCAGTGCAGCAGCCAGGCCACGTGTGCCCATCTTGGTAAGAATTCTTTTTTAGCCAGTACATGCCTGAAAGCCTTTCATTCCTTCTTTCAGCATGCTGCTTCCTATTTCTTCTTATCTTTTGTGCACTCATGATAACATGAGCTGGAGTGGAACAGAGAAGTCCCTTCATTAGCAGTACTCTTTTGCCTCTGACAAACCTGAAGCATTAGCAAGTGTGATAGCTTCCAACAGCTTGGATGTGGCACTACATTCCCTTAATTTGTGGAGTGGTTTGCATCTGCCAGTTGAATGGGCTTATGCTTCTTAAACGACAAGATTCTCTCTGCTATACCACATGCCATTTTGTTCAGAGAGAGTTGAGTAACCATAGTGGATATTGTGACAGAAGCCATTTTATTTTAACAGATAAGCAGGGATGTCACACTAGGTATGGCTGTAGAAATGGTTTGTGAGTTGATTATGTGCACATAGGTTAGATGGAGGGAGCAGATGTCAGCATTGGACATGGAAAGGTTACTGCTTGCTAATTCCTTTTGAAAACTCTCTTAGGAACCTACTGTGTATGTGTGTAGCTCCTAAATTGTCACTGACAGCAATAAATAAATTGTCACTGACAGCAATGAAAATTCAATTTTGCAGTGGGAGGGGAATATTTTACTGTTTGGACAACTTTTCACTCAAGCACTGGGGAAGAGGAAAAAATAGACTGATTATAAGGATAAATAAGAAAGAATAAACATCTAGACTGGAACTCTGGATTCAGACTAGGTCTTAATTAGCAGTTTTTACACATACATGAAAAGCTCTGACCACTTAAAACCGTCAGTTCAGATTTTGATTTACATCAGAACTTTGAGGTGTTTACACTTGCTTTAGACTAAAAGTTTCTGATTATCTATAAACACTGATCAAATATAACTGCATAAGTTTCTGTACTGTAATTTAAACCACTGCCTGGTTGTAATGAAGATCCAGGGCATTTGGATTTCCCTGATATTTTCAGAAAAAACTTGAAAGTTGAGGCAGTTTTTTTAGCACAGTTTTGTTTTGGGCCCATGCCAACTTCCAGAGAAAGAAGAATGCAGAAGCAGCAGCCCCAGAGACCCCCCTCTGACAGAGGGAAGGACAAGCATAGCAAACACTCCCATTAACCTCCTTGGTCAGCACCACTCCACTGTCTCCCAGTGGCTGCTGCTGTTACAGCTACTGCAAACAGCCTCCAAAATGCACAGGAACTCTGTAGTTTTATTCAAGTGCAGAAAAAAACACACAACCAAAACCAGAGGTCAGCACCAGACTATTGCTCTGTATTTATTTCCAGAATTGATGTGGCAGTATTTATTAGCAGTCATCAGTGATTCCCCTGAATAAAGCAGAAATATTAAGAGAATTTGAGCCTGAGGCATCATGTTTGCAAGCTCTGTTTAGACACATATTTAGTTTAAGCCTTTGATAAAATACACTGTGGGAGTGAAGGGTCAATGCAGGTAGCTTTTATTAGGATTATAACCAAGTGTTGCTCTATTACATGATTTAAAACTCACAGAGAAAAGTACTAAACATGATTTTTTTCAAGCATGTTTTAAAAGTTCTGTTTTCTACTTGAACATTTACTAAAGCCCAAGCAAATAGGAATGTTGCCAGTTATTTCAGAAAAAGCATGATATACTAAATATAGTACTGAAGCAAAAAATACTACAACTAGTTTATTCCCACAAAAGGAAATCACTAATTTTCCTAAATAAGCATTTCCTTGCAGACAGATGTATAAAATTACTACAAAATATTGAGAAGTTAACAAATTTCAGAATCTTATTTATAATTCTTGTCAGTGCTAGTAAAAGAATCAATGTGGGTAGAATTTGATTAATTTAAATATTTTGCTGTCAAGGTCAGCTTTGTCAAAATGTACAGAAAATGCTACACATTAATAACTATAGTCAGAAGCTCAGCATTTTGAAAGTTGCTTTTTTTTAAATTAAGTTTGCCTTATTTTCCCATAACTTATTTTCCCACAGATGAATGTATCTGGCTCTCATTCTGCTGTCTTATTCTTTTTTTAGCTTCCTGAAATGACTCACATTCAGACACGGCGACCCTGGTTGATGTTTCTCCTACAGAACCTTGGATTACTATTAGGCTGGCTTTGCCTCTTACTTTTGGCTGTATTTGAACAGAAAATTAAAATATAAGTTTTCTGTTGGAAATCTCGAAGTACCACTTATGACAGTGGATAGCATTATTCACAATTTTGTCATGTCTGCCATAGTGATATGTAAATTAAGTTGCTGGGATTTTATATCTGAACAGTAGATAACTATTTTACTTTATTAACTTATTGTTCAGATTTTTGTAATTATTTTTTTGTAAACATGAATGTTTAGAATTATGTTTTGTTACTGAGTTTACCAGATCCCATGCTCAAACTCACAGGAGCTTTTAATTAGTTTTTATTGAGACAGTTCTAGTTGAATGCTCTAAGTGATCTCTGCCAGTCTGATTGAAGAAAAGAATAAAACACTTTTATATGCAATAATTAAAGTGGACTAACCATAGCTGAACAATTTGAATATGGAATGGTTTTTTGCCTTTTGGTACAAAGAGTTATTTCTTTAAATCTAAAATGCATAACAAAGCTAAACTGCTGAATGGCACAAAGCAATCTTAACAAGTCTGCACTTTCTACTTTGTCAGCATAAAGATTCTCATCAGTACTGGTCCACTGTGGCAGGAAAAAAATGCCAAGTGTAAATGTTGAAGTTTATGATACAGAAATTTGGGAATACTCTTTTCTGACTGCAATACAGTTTCTCATATATGTGAAGGAACCTGTGACAGTCAAGCACTGGACTAACCACCTTTTGCATTATCTCACCTCTGGTGGTTCTTATAGCAACTGCTTATGAAGGATTATAAAAGATAAGTTTAAATTGCTTTTTCCCCACTTCCAGGCTCCACAAATGAAGGGATTTTTTGACCCAAATGTTGCTTCTGAGATGTCATATTCAAGAAACCCTTGCCTTCCTGTCAGCAATTAGCTTAATCATAGATATGTGATATGCATTGTGGAAAGAGCTTTTTCAATTGCCTAGAATGCATGCAGCTTCACTGCAACTCTTCCCATCCTGAGTGATTTTTGTGTAATTAGTCCTCTTGATTTCAAGGTAATTCTGCACAAGTTGAGATGATTAATATAATTTAGTTTTGCAGAACTGGGTCTGAAACAAATACACAATTTCTGTCCTGATTCTGATGTGCTGAGCAGCTTCCAGGAGCTATTGAGCAACACTCAGCTGTGTGATTTCAGCTTCTTACATGCTTTCAATTTCTGATGCAAGGACTTCTCCCCTACCTTATTTATACATTTGTATGAGAACTAAATTTTGTCCTTTCTTTCTTTCTGCTCTGATGAGCTGTGGAAATAGGGAGAGCAAGTTACAGAACAGACATGTATTCTTTATGAAGCAACTGGAAGTTTTCTTTTCTCTGTCTAAACTCCGTCTTGAAATATCTCTGCATTATGACACAACATGACTGTCTCACAACGTGTCCTGTGTTTATTTGATAGCTCCTAGTGAAAGTACAATTATTCTGGAGGATACAGACTCTACTCTCCTACAGCAGACTGTCAAACCTGTTAGCTCTCAAAAGCTTCATGAACACCATACTAACTTAGCAAAATAGAAAGTGAAAAAAATACTGAATTTCACTTTTATGATAGCCCGCACTCATGGGCTTGTGAACCCTTAGTCAACCACTGACTAACCTTCAGGGAAAAAAAAATGTAGAGATAATTTTAAAAGTAGATAAGCATTCATTTTCAGTGCCTGTTAGTTATGAGAATACTACTGTAGCAAATACCCCAATGCAAATCTAGACAAACTTAGACATGTACATAACTTCAGAAACGAAACCTATTCCCAAACAATTTATCCAAGGTAACACAGGAAGTCTCTATCTGGCAGGGGGGTGAACTGAGCTCTTATTAAGGCCCAAAGTACAATCCTAGCTTCTTTTATTTAGGTGTGCAAATATTACGATTGCTTTTTATGCTGATGAACTTTGAAAGGTGAGTTGAGAAGCCATGTCTAATGCTTCTGTTTTCAAAGTTTACATTTTTTCTTGGAGCTTGTGCTTGATTTTATTAAGGTAATATTTTTAAAAAGTGGTTTCTCAGTATTTCATCTGTTTGTATTGGCACTGAGTCACTTCATGACCTTCAACTGTGACAGTCAATTCAAGCAATAGCAGGGCATCACTGGACGTAAGCAAAATCTATTCTTGTATCAGATGGTGCAAATGAATATTGGAAACATTAATTATTTCAAAGAGAAGAGTTTCCATAGTTTGAATGCTTATGTATGCCTAATATTTGCTTCCACGGAAAACAAGATTATTAATATGATCATGTTTTGGTAATGTTATTGTATTTTGAAATATTTGTCTACTATTTATTAATGTGTCTGAAAGAGGGCAAGTAATTTCTGACAGTGTGTATTTAAAGTTGCATAGGAGCATAGGTTTCCGTCCAGATATGTTCTGTGAAGGTATTGTATCCACACTTATTAAAAAAATGGCATCTTTTGGCTAAATCTTGATCACATTTAACAACCAAATGTACTTATACAGCTTCTACCACAGGCACAGATATGTTGATCAGAAAGCCACAGAGCTCTTTGGCTTTTGTGATATTTGTCAGTAAGTGAGAAATGGTTCTATGATCATTTTGCCCTGGTGTCAAACCTGAGCACCTGAAATCTCATCTGCATATGAAAGCTCGAATTCCTGTGGAACTTAAAACTTACTTATCTCACTACTTAAGGTTAGGGCTTCTGCCGTAAATTTCTTTACATTTGTGTCTTTGAAAAAGATACTGAAGGTGGAGTATTACTACATGTAAATGAAGACCTCTAGCTTTACAAAGGGCTGGAAACTGGTCCTATAGGTGATTGAAACAGAAAACTAAAGAAGTTTTGTACCAAAGAGATTTGCCTGTCGATTTCATCATTATAGTCAATGTTCTCTAAAAATTCCAAGAAAAATAATGGAATATGTTTTTGTGTCCTTACAAAAGACAAGAGTCTGCACAAGTTTTCTTATGATGCATTCTCTTTTAGTTTGTTTTACATCTGTAGAGTTTGTCCATAGAGATTTGAAACAGACCTGTTTTTAAAGCCAGGTACATCTTTCTGTTGCTTCAAACCTAACAGACAGAGAGCATAATATGCCAATGTTTTCATTGAGTCAAATCCTGAGTAAGGACTGCAGAACTTCATCACTTGCAGCCCTTAAATCAGGACTAGGTTTCTCTGTAAGAGGTATGCAATTACTCAAACAGATGTTATGTGCTTGATGGAGAGATTACTTGGTGAGGTTTTACAGCCAGTCAGGCAGTTCTAACTAGATAATCATAATGCTCCTTTGAAACTTTAAATACATTAATCTATAGATAAAGGAATTTTTCTGGAAGAAGCTGTTTAGCGTTTCTCCCTTTCATCTATTCTTAGTTTTCAGGCACTTAAGATGAAATGATCTTGCTTTCCTACACAGAAAACTAGAGAGAAAAGGAAGGTTTAAAGAATTTGTTAGCTAAAGTATTTTTTCTTGGAAGTTAGATGGCAGAGGGCCTCACAAAGAATACTTCCAATTCCAAACTACCAGCACTCCTGAGAGCTGACCTTGTACCTCTCTTTTCTGTATATGTTACACATTATCCAGTGACTCCTAAGATAAATAGTTCCTTCTTTGCAGTCAGTTATAGTAATGCCCTCAGGTTTCTGGAGCTCATCTGCATGTTTTAAATACTGCCATCTTTTACTGTATTTTAATACTGCCATTCCTATACTGTATTTTATGCTTTAGGCATGAATGTGGCATTTTCTCCAGGGACAGAAAAATACCTTTTTCATATAAGAAAAGATAGTTTTGGTATTTAACCTTGATTTGTTTTTCTGTCACCCTGCCATTGCTCTTGAGAAAGCGAATTATCATTGATAAAGTTTTAAACAGGTTGATATCTGTCTGATGTATGGATTAGGGCTGATACCTTATCAATGTCCGCAGCTTTTTTTTTCTTTACTGTAACCTTTTGTCAAGCCTTTCTCTCATTTTAAAAATAAGCTGCCTTCAATTGTGAGTGTACCTGTAGGAATGTGACTACAGAAAATACAAGCAGTAGTTGCACAATGGCTTTAATCAAAACAAAAAGTCCTGCTATTTATTTTACTAGACCCACCTACATTCCCTTCTCCCCAAAAGAACAAAAAATCCCCACATGGAGCTGTTGCTCTGGGTCACGTAGGGGAATGTGAGAAATGTCTCTTTCCTTTTATGTCCCTGATAACAGGAGCGAGTCCTGCGGGAGCCCCTGCGGGACAGGGACAGGCGGGGATGCCGAGGGGAGCCGCAGGGTGGCACTTGGGCTCTGGAGCCGGAGGATCCAAGGGTTTACAGCGATCTCTCTCACCCTGCAGCAGCCGGGCACGCTGCTTCGTGCTGCCTGCTCTGGGAGTGAAAACAACCGTGAAAGCGATTCCCCGTGAGAGCGGGCTCCCGCAGGGCAATAACCCGCAGGATCCCCGCAGTCAGGGTGAGCCCAGGCATTCCCAGGGAGCTCCATCCATCTCCGCTACCGCCGCAGGGCGCCCACACGGAGCGACACCCGGCAGGGTCTCTGTGCCAGGGTCTCTGCTCTGACACTGCCGGACAGCATTAGGCGCAGGATTAGCTGGCAACATAAATCTGCCTAGCAACCATTTACATATGGGCCCAAGATAATGCCGAGCAGCTCTAACGCAGTGCTATAGATGTGTCTATATGTGACATCGTTTTGTTCCACTGCAGCTGGCTGGGAAACACTCCTCCTTTCCCTAGGGGCCAGAAGAATCTAAATTGACCCATCCAAGAGAGGTGACAAGAGATATGCATAGGGAAATGACTAGTCAATTATTATGACATATACCATATTTTTAATTTCAGATCACATCAAATTGTCCTCCATGGACTCTCAGGCTGCAGGGTGGGCAGCAGGACAATGATGCTCTGTTGGGAGCTGCCCAGGCTGTCCTTGTCAGGGTACAGATGAACAGCAGCCATAGCTCAGGAAGCCTCTTTTTAGCTTTTCTGGAAATGACTTTCTAGTGTTTGTCCTTCCACCTGCTATGCAAATACCATAACCCATATGATATAGGCTGTTACCTGTTCTTGTCCACCACCCATGAGAATGGTTTTGGAAAGGTTTTTGTGTTGCCACCGTTTATTTCTTCAGAAAGGAAAACAGAATGTTGGAGAATTAACTGAGAATCACATAGAAGGAGATATTATTATAAACACAGTGGTACCAGTAATGCAACTCAGTTTTGGGGAGACACTGCTGTGAGTACTGAGCACAAAGACAAGTAAGTCATCTTTTGATTTCACACTGAAGTGTGTTGGTGTTGTCTTGGTGGTCTTGGGTGGTTTTATCACTAACAACTGGTAGACAGCCCTAGTTTCAGGACTTCAAAGCCGTCCACATATTCCTGTGCAAAGGCATAGTATGAGCTCTGGAGGACGAGTACAA